CTTTCTCATCATCACCCTTTCAGGTACTCGAACAGTATTTCCTCGTGGTCACAAAATAGGATGATCACAGTCCTTATTCAAAATCTACTGGTAGTCTCGCAAGCCTTATTAGAAAGCTAAAATCAATCTAACCTAATCAAGTAATGGTTTAAGGCAACCGTAATAACGACTCAGTTTGCATATATTCCTAGTCAAAAGTGATTTTAATTCCTTCAATGCCCTTCTATGTGTGGATCCCCATAATTGCCTCCTTCGACCGGCGGTCTATGTTATTCTCAATTGTTGAATCGTAACCTCCTTTTGCTCCTCATAAAAGTGCACTTATTTGAATAGCCAAGGTCAGACTAGTGTCATTCGTCAGTATGACCACAATTATTTAGAAGCGCCCGAAATATATCTTTGTGAATTGTTATAATTGCTTGCTTTTATTCTGCAAAGAAGACAGTTTACAGAGTACTTTATTGCAACAGATGCCGCTTCGCCAATATTCAAGTTTCTCTCATCAACTGGCAAAAGAGGAATCTGATAGTTCATTGGATTTAGGTCTCGACAACAGCCAACTTCGATCCTCTCATGTCAGCCCCGAGCCATGGTCTCCCACCGCACATGTAAGGCGTGTTTTTGCCGTGAGAAAAGCCAGTGAACAGCGCCGGCAAACAGCCAAAGTTTATGCTGCAGTTGCGGCATCATCGTCCTCTTTGTCCGCATGGACAGGACTTAAAAACTGCAGATTTGAAACATCTAGAACACCAATGCTCAGAGTAACATGTGCCTCCGAGATGATAATGCCTTCGCGACATAAAGCTGCTACAATAAGAGATCTGAGATACTCCCTTGCTGGTCTCCGGAGTCTAGCAATCAGGCACCAAACCCCGCTTACGCACTTTCATTGGGCCCGACCTCCAAAAAGCCTTGAGGCTATTCTGAGTGATATCACCAAGCCGACCCTGGCCCCTCTTCCTCGAGTAATACGTTGTTATCTAGACCGCACTGGAGCAGAGGCTCCGAGTTATCAGTTGGGAAAAGGAGTACACGAAGAGCCTATTTCCGCATATGAGAGGACTTGTATATGGCTTTCAAGGAGTTCTTCCATGTGACGTTTCATCGTGACTTTGGATGTCTTTTGACTCTATTTTCACGATAACACTTATTATTCCGTTAACTTATCCGGTCTTTTCGCCATTCATAAATCTTTTGTGAAGAAAAACTCCAGACAATGTTCATTTATCTTTGGATTAACCATTAATAACATAAAAATGAATATTAACCAAGGTGTTATAACTGACGTATTTTCACATGCCTACATTTAAGTAGTATTTTTACAGTTAATAATCAAACAAGCTAAAATTCGGCTCCAGATGTAATGTTAATACTTTTTTATATGCAAGCACCATTCTG